GTTGGACATTGTAAAAACGACCCAAAAAGGACAAACCACAATGGCATCTTCTTTAATAACTCAAAACGAGCATTTTAATTCCCTGGACATGAAACGATAAGCCACCAATTGTGAATGTAATTTATAAATAGTAATTTCATGAGAATTTCCAAAGTCATCGAGGAAACGTTGGACCCTACTTTTATTCCATAGTCGTCCAGACGATCGTAATCCCAACACGCTAGGCTCTTGCATTCGAAGAGCAACAATCGGTACGTAGCCATCACGATAACCGGGGAAAAAAAAAAAAAAAAACCCCGAGAACACCACGTAATCAACGCCATATCGAAAAGCCCTCATCCCCCCCATACCAGAGCGCAAAGTATAAGCGAAAAAATAAGCTCCCCCAGACTCGTAAAGTACATCCCCCCGCCATGGAGCTAGAGTAAGTAGAGTTGGTGTATATATAGCAACAGCCCGCGGAGCGAGGCGATAATAGAAGACTGTGTACGCAGCTCGCCCGATGTATTTATGCTACAATAAAGAAAAGCTCGCTCGCCCATAGTGCACGGAGGAGGGCTTTCGGGGGGCAACAACGCGCCGCAATATAAGTAAGGGCAGAGGAGGGGGTGGTTTTAAGTTTCGGGGGGGAAGCACGAAAATTATTGGGGATCGGGGTAAGGTTTATAAAGCAGCGGGGGGCTGCCTGGCGGGGTATCGAGGGGTGGTGGGGGGTATTTTTCACGGCTGATCGCGAGCGCGGACGTGCGTGCCCCCCCCTTTTTTTTTCTCCGTACATTATAAGGGAGCCCCTTGCGTGTACCTATACTTGCGACAGCTCGGGGTGTACGCGCGCGGAGAGTCAATGACGCCGCGAGCGCCGTGACCCCCGGGAAATTTGCTGCTGCGGGCTTTCGTACGCGGTGCATTTCAATTGCCACTCCCTTCGCGTTTGTGTAATAAGTACATACGTGCGCTAAACTGTTTGCTTTGGAGGTTTTTTTTTTTTTTTTTTTTCCTTTCTTTCTCCTGCGATGGCACGCCAAAGTGTGCGAATTGCGCCAAGTGTCGTATCACTGCTTTATCTTTTGCCTTTTTCTGTAAAAGTTCCAACCCTCGTGAGAGATTTACACTTACTCTGGATGATTGTAAAGTATATGTATTTTTGTTTTCTTCATTATTTCAAACGAGTAGCTATTTTCTTTATTTGAGCACAATATATTTTAAAGAGGACATGTACCCTGACACTAGTCGAGTTTTCATTTCTACATTTTTCCTCGTAGCATAAAGAATAATGTATATAGGGCTGAACAAAATCATACCATTTCGAGGAGCTACAAAACGCATTTATCAATATAGGTTGTTAAAGACGTTTATTTTTATGTTTTATTGAAGTTACGCAAAGTGTAATGGAAAGCATGAGTATGAACGAAAAAACTATGATGATTCTAGAATGATCAAAACAGCATTGAGAAATAGAATTGTATCATCAACTGACGATAAATTGTTAGAATTGTATCACCGATTCCGAAAATTACAGGGAACAACGATGATTGGAAAATTTTCTTGATTAAAATTACACTTGCGGCTCTCGCGTAATTTTTGAAATTTGTTCATAGTACTAATTTGTACAAGTATAACGTACGATAAATACACCATTGCTTTTTTTATCGAAAACACAAGTCGTTTCGTTACAACACGCAAAAACAGGTTCCAAGCCCACAACGCGAGGTGGTACATCCCGCATTTAAAAACATAAATTTTCACGCAGTGAACAACGAGTCGATAAGCACGAGGCGTTGACCTTAACGATGATAGCACCACTGCAACAACAGCTAGAGAATTATAGGAATTACGTACCCTCCACTTGTATATAGAGTAACGCATGAGCATATTCATACGCGCCCACAAAAGCAAGAGAATCCAAAGAGAGAGAGAGAGAGAAGATAGCCACGCACTCTCCACAAAGCTCACGTGCGCATATATATGTATATCTGCGCACGGAATGCTCGGTTAATAAGGGTATATACGGGAGGGCTGTTACGTTATACAATAATATATGCACTCGAGTGTTATAACTTCGCCGTGGGTACTTGTTATGTTTGCTCAACCTCGAGTACACGATCGGTCTTTTTACCATTGTGTATGTACTGTCCGAGTTACCATTGTACACTGGAACGACGACCCGAGCTTTTTGTCTCGCGAGTAGCTGCGAATGTCTTCGCGCACGTGGATATTTTGATAGATGATCCGGGGTGATGTGCACCAAAGATAAGTGCAATGCTTTTCCATGGTGCTGTTTTGCTTGGGACCAAGTTAAACGGTCTGTAGATATTTAGTTGTTTTAAATAACGTATTTGGAGAGGTTTATAAATTAATTCCAAATTTTTGCTTTTTTTGTGCTCGAACGATAACTATTTGATAATACCACGTGGTTATTTATCAAAGCGTAAAAAGCTTTGTTATTTTAAAAATCGTTTGTTTCGTGCGCACCGGTAAGTTTATCCGTTTAACCGAATCAAAAAATGCTACGAGCAATCGAAGCGTGAATTTCCGGGAACATCCTGTAATCCGTGTTTTTCCTTTGATTTTATCATGGATTCGTCACTTTTGTGTTCGATCACATGTAGCTGTTATTCCTTTTTAAAGGATTCGTCTGTTGTTTCGTTGAACCGTGAATGCCGATGCATTGAATTTCGATTACAGCGAATTTCCCCCGGAATTATTAAAGCACGTTCAACAACACAATTTTTATTTTAAACAAAAAATATTGACATCACACCAATTAACATTTTTTATGAGCTGTTCAATTTCATAGTGTTTTTTTTCCGTTATTTTTTTTTTAAGAAAATTAAAATCATTCAAGTAAAAAGTAAAAAGTTGGAAAATAATTTTATCTCTGGGGACACAAACAAAAGTTTTGCTTCTATAGGCAGATCAAAGAAAAAATTCGTTTTCTGCTTTTACTTTAGTTAATAAAAACTTGTATTAAAACTTTTTTGTTTCATATAAATTACTTTTATACTCTTTATAGTCCAAGATTGTCAACTTTTTTTTCATCAACTTCCCTGACAAGTCGAAATACAAAGATTTTTTTGTACAAAAGTAAATGCTCACGTAACTTGAGCTCAAATTGGTGAAAAAAAAAAAAATAATGTAAATAACGTAAACGTTTAAAACTGCCTGTGCGAGCAAAAATTGAAAATTTATCCATCGAAATGTGTAAATATACAACACACCCACTGAATCACGGGACCTCAAAATCCATTGAACCGTCAGTCAAACAAAAGCAATACAAATAAAAAACGCCACGTCCATTCTTCGTTACCCGCGCAAATAAAGCACAGTTCGGAAGCGCAGTTTGGAAAATATATAAAAAAAAAAAAAAAGAGCTGCAAGGGG